CTCCTTTACGGTAACACGCAGGACCTGGATGAGCGCCTGCGGACTCAGGTCCAACAACGAAAAGTCCATTCCTGAAAAAGAGGCGAGAGCCGCCACCAGCAGCGACAGTATTGATGTCGAGTTGCGGTGACTGAATTGTAACGCCAGCAGTTGTTGTCTCGAACACATGTTCGTAACGGCCTTCGCCATATCTCGAAACATCAGTGCTTGTGCCACCCTACTGGAGTTAGTCTGCTGCTTAGAAGATACCGCTTAACTCACCATATCGAAGCCAATGACCGGTGTCTTTGTTCCTTCATCATACGAAGTGATAGCGTATCCCACGACACCCCCTGCAGGGCCTGATAAGATTGCCTTGAGTCCTGTAAACTTTTCCACGTCCACAAGACCACCATCACTCTGCATAAACTCGCATCTCGCTCCCTTAGCACCCTTCTCCTCCTTCACACTACGAGTTCCAAGGCCGCCTTCAAACCCAGCCTGGAAGCCATCAATGTACTTGCGGATAGCCGGTGTGAGATAAGCATCAGCACAGACAGATGTAGCTCGTGAAACCAGCTTTATCATAGGCATGAGTTCGTGGCTTAGTGATATATGTTGGAAGCCGATATCCTTAGCTATCCGCCCAATCAGAGCTTCATGGTCAGGATAGGTGTAGCCGTGCATCAGACAAACAGCAATGCTGCGAATGCCTTGGTCGTAGACACTCTTGAGCTTCGATCGAATGTCTTCTTGTTCGGCTTTTTTGAGGATTCTGACTGTTTCTCCAGACAACCCTCGAACAAGAGTCTTGCCCTCGGCTTCTTTGGTGCCGACTCGAGCCTCTGCTTCTGTTTGCGTTCTTTCGGGGTCCTCGGCGTAATCTTCGAGTGTAACCCGCTCGTCAATCTCAATGACTTTCTCATATAAGACGTCGGGCTTCCGAATTGCAAGGTCAAAGATTTTGGGCCTTGACTGATTTCCGATGGTCAGACAGTCCTTGAAACCCTTGGTAACGACCATGGCGATTTTTTCTCCCTTTCTCTCGAGCAAGGCGTTTGTGGCGACAGTTGTTCCCATCCGGATCGAATCAATCTGAGAAGTGTCCAAAGCTTCGCCTCGAGGAATATCTCTACCGAGGAAGTGGCTCATGATGCGCCGAATACCCTCAAGCGGGGCATCCTTGTAGTTAGCCGGGTCTTCGGACAGAAGCTTGATGATGATTTCCTTTCCATTGCTCTCTCCTACACAGTCGGTGAAAGTTCCACCTCTGTCAATAGCGATTCTAATACCGCGCTGTGATGTTGCTGTCATGGCGGATATCTTTCGGAATGTTGGTGAGGGGAAGAGGGGTTAAAGCGAAGGTCTCAAGAGCATCAAAACGTGCGTGTGCGTTTAATGATTGAGATAGATGTTGCCAAAAACGAAAAAGGTCAGTTACATTCCACTTGGAGACCTCCAGAACAAATATGCATCGCTCTTTGTGCAAGTTGAAACTACTTGGGTGAGACTCTCAGGCGGCTATCATGTCGTCACAAACCCCACGTTGCGTGATTGGTAATTGATAGCTTCAATCACCCGAATAGGCAATTTTAAGGACAGTTATTCACTGAGATCAATGTAAGGTATTTTTGAGTACAATGTTCTCTTTGATAGTGTGTTTTTGCAACTGCAGACTGCTGGGAGGATAACAAAAACACCAAAAGAGTGGAAGAGAGTCAAAGTTTTACAACCATAATCTTAACAACAGCCATTGGCAATTATGGTTTGCACTCCCGTTCAAGTTTTTGTCCATTAAACGATTCCAGGAAACCTTACTTTGATAAGCCTGCAATGTCACTATAAACATAGAGGAGCAATGCCTTGAAGCCTATATGAGGCGGAGAGCGATCCCATGCAAAAGAGAAACACATGAATCAATTGTTGATCACGATTTTGCCGTCAGCAAGACTCGAACTTGCGTTTTCAGTGCTTTCAAGTAGCCACAAACTGATGTACTGACCCCTATACGATGACGGCTTTCAGTTGTTTGTTGGGAAACGAGGCGTAAAAGAAGTTTATGAATACAGTGGCAAGCATTGGATGAAGCGAAAATCAAGCAAAATGCCAAAAGGTTTGCCGTCAGCAAGACTCGAACTTGCGTTTTCAGTGCTTCGGAGAGCCACAAACTGATGTACTGACCCCTATACGATGACGGCTATTTTCCAGTTGATATAATCCCTGTTACTTGTATTGGACTATACCCTAGGCACAGTTTGAGGTGTTTGGGTCTGATCCACGTTCTTGGCAACAATTGATCAAAGAATAAGAGTAGCTTCCTTTAATCCAGTGACCAAGACACATGGAGTTGAAATATTGGCAATACCAAAACCGGACACATGTAAAGTATAGGTAGTTACTAAAGAGAAGAGGAAACCACTAGAAACCCCAGTTCTCGGCAGTGGCGGATCCTGACTCAATCTAGCGGCGAGCTTATCAACAGCTTCGAGACACCGGAAAGCTTCATAGAGTTTTTACATTATTGCAAAAAGGTTCTGCTCCAGCTGAGGTTCATTCTATGTCTTTGCCGTTGCAGATGCGGGACCTATTCCAGCCGGAGTCTCGGGTCCGGCGTCTCCGGAGACGCACGGAGCAGGTCACCGGAGACATGGGACGCGGAGGACGCCGGACGGCTCGAACGTGTCACGGAATGGGAAGAATATCATGCAGCTAACAATCTGCCGGTAGGTGGAAATTGAAGGACAAGTCAATACAAGACTTTGATCGACCGTTGAAGGCAGAGTTTGTGATTGTCAAGAAACAGGCCACTAGTCACACAATATGTATGGCATGACTGGCACTCGAAAGGATTGTAGGTTGCAAAATTCAAGACGACAGCATATTGGAGCTTCGGGTCTGAGCTCACCGATGGGCTTTGTAGTGTTGACGTATACATTCATCCGTCTGGCGTCATTCCTTATGAAAACTTCAGACTTGAAGGAACTGTCTGTGCCCCACTCACGAGATCAGCATGAAGTGAAATCTTATTGATTAGTGAGGCCTACTACAAACGCTCATCTCATCTCCAACGTCTCGAGATTGGAGTTGCTGGGATAAGGCGTGGTTCTCAATGGTGTCTCTTATCGAGTGATTCACTGACAACACACTCCCACCGCCTCTTCCTCTAAGCGCTTGGAGCGATCTGTCGATAGGTATCACAGAACAGCTAAGCCATTCGATTCATGGCCCAAGACACCCTCGAGCTAAACCTGACTCGTCGGACGCCGGCTCTGACTTGTGCCAATGATGCAGTGGCTAGGACGCTAGGTTACCAACTGCCACCGCGAACCTCCATGCTTGTTGGGGGGCGATCCCCATGCATTAAGGCCATGTTTTTTAAATCCCTTCTGTTAAACGATTGGAGATGAAAAGACCTTCAAGATGCAGGGTAGCGGGCATTGGCAAGGTACGGACCCTTATCCCAGTCCCTCTTGGTCCCACGGCATGGAACCCCAGGAATTTGTCGGAAACACAGGCAGTGAAGCACACAGGCGGTAGAACTATAGCACGTTACGTAGGCCGTGGTAGGCCTAGACCTCATGGATACGAAGCTCAGGCTCGAAAAGCAAGGGGACCAACCCAGTAACAGCGATGAGCATCTAGAGCGCCAGGCGCGGCGATAAGCGTTTGGATGAGAGTATTTGAGGAACGAGGATGCACACTATAGCAATGCAGATGCAGCAGCAGTGCATCAGATGAAGCCATTGGCGCTCTGTTCAGAATAGATATCTCATCAGTGCAACAGAAGCAACACAACGAACGACACGACACGGCTGCAACAAGACTGAAAGAGCCCTGAGTCGAGAGTTACTCACTCCCCCATCTGCCGTCATCGTCGGCCTCAATTGTGTTTCCATGTGCCTCGGGTTGAAAAGACGAGACAGGCCAAGTTTATTAGCCCACCTGATCGACGTCACATCTCTCGCGCTCCGGACCCTTTTCCCAAGTCTCAGTTGGCCCAGTTCAGTCCAGCACTGTCACGACCAGCCCCGCCCAATCCTATTGCCTCCACCGCCCGCTTTCGGAGCCTCGCGGTGAACGAACAAGAACCCTTTATTCTCGCTGTTGATTTAAGAGAGACGGGTCCGGCTTGGTCATTCCAGTTCCCCCAAAACCCAGCGCCTCTGCGGGTAAAAGTGGCCCATTGAATTCAATGGGTGTCCCATAATCAGTAAGCCAAAAACGGGAGAGACATGGAGGGGGGTGCGTTTCCACGAGCTTCTGCAGTTGTGTTGTGTGTCTTTGTCATTTTGCTTCTAATTGCCTATCGAATTGCAAATCGCAGAGCAAACTTTGGTGGTGCACATGCGTCTGTGAGTTTGTGCTATATGCCGTCTAAAAAAGTGAGGGATCGTACTTGTGCATATGCAGTGCATGTGTAAACAAACGACGGGCTGGCCAACGTTGTTCATTGATTGCTGCTGTAACAAGCACGCTTTGGTCCCTGTATGTATCTGACTGAGCATGGATGGACAAACTAGACTACTGCACATGCATTTCATACTGTGTGACAACAGCTTCTTTAACGATGGGACTCAACTAGGTAAGGTAAACAATCAAACTCACACACCTCCCCCCTGCCCATGGCCGCGGCCTGAATGTGGTGAGAGCGATGAGCTGGAGGCGAACTGACCAGCCGCTGGCTCCACCAAGGCATGATTCATTCATCAGCCGCCTTGTCTCGCCTCGCCTCGCCGCTCTTTATAAAGCCCCGACCAGATTCGTTTTCCACCGCCAACTCCTGTTTCGTTTTGATCGCTTCATCTTCTGTCACTGTCGTTGTGTGAATGAGTCTTTGATTTGGTTCTTGCTTTTCACGCATTTCTCGAAACGCCGTCACTGCATCCGGTTTCCTACAAAGACGGCCTTACTTGGCTCAACTTCTTACCGCTTCCAACATAAACTCTCACCGACCCAAGAACCTGTCCAGTTCATCTCTCAGAAGTCTACCTTTTCCACAAATTCAACAAAGAAATACCGCCATGCCTCCTAAGCGAATCCGTTGCACCGCTGCTTCGTGCCGTGAGCCCGCTCAACGGATCGTCGGCGACTGCACCTTTTGCCAAGGCCATTTCTGCGGCAAGCACCGTCTACTAGAAGACCACAAGTGTACTGGTCTCGAGGACGTAAGTTCAGCACCTCATAAAAACCCATGGATGCAGACCCGCTAACCCACATGCAGTGCAAGAAGCAGTCTCACGAGCGTAACGCTGCACAACTCGAGTCGGAACGAACCCAGGTTATCCGGGGTGTGTAAATCGACCAACGAGAGTCATTATCACCTTACATATCTATCATGGTTCGGACTGGAGACTGCCGTCATTCCTAAAGTCCGCAATGCGTATTCTGACGGCCACGACGTAATGAGATTGGATTCCGAGACAGCATCATCAGATGCATAGCGTTATTCGCCGGTGTATATTTCTATTCGGATAGTTGAGGGTGCGTTGGCGTACAGGATATGATTAGGGGACATTGTCCCCTCCCTTAGCGGGCTCTGAATTGATTCATTTCTTCATCACAATCACAAAGCGAAATGTGTCCATTGAGATTCGGTAATCCTTAGAATTCGTCGATCAATCGACGGGTTTCAGTCGACTGCTGCTGCAGAGGCGGTGACATTGCTTGACTACTTGACTCAGAATGGAGTGAAGATCCGTTGTCTTGGCTTGATTACGTGTGTTGCTTGAGCCTGGTCTCCGATACGACTTCAGAGAACCACGAGGACCCTGCCTAGGTTGTTTTACCGGCTTATCTCCGATATCGTATCGGGCCCATGACTGATCTCGTGAGCGTCTGTCAAGACCGCGCAGACAATAGTGCCGCTTAGGCTGGACCACAGAAGTGTGCCAGCAAGAGACCAATAACTTTGTTTTGTAGAATGGGGTATCAATGGGTATTAATGCGTCTGGAGGGCAGTCTTTTCTGTCAGTTCTCCACGCCAACCTTCACAAGCGCTCATATACGTGGTCAAATTGACTACAGCCAGCGACTTCAGGCAACTCGATCCTGGGGATTATTATGGGGTGGTTGGTTCCGGGGGCGGGGCCGCTGATGGGGTTATTCATCTGTCATGAGAGCCTGGGAACCCATCATACACCACCCTCTTCTTTGATTACAGTGTTCTGTGAAACCTCCGTTTTGACCAGTGCATCGCTCTGAGCCTCCGATTCTATCTTTTTGGCTTTGAGCTGACGTCCGGCAGACACCTTTGCTCGATCGGCAGCTTTGCATAGTCCTTCATGGCCAAGATCACATTCACCGCACTTGCGACCGACAGGAAGACACACCGACTGCCCCAACCCCACCAGAAGATGATTGATCTCATGCCATCGATCTTGTGGGAGCCATGACTGAAGTGTTGTTCGTGTCTCCTCTGGGTTCTTCGTTTTGTGCCAACCCCAAAGATTTGTGATACGATGTACGTGCACATCAACACCAATCCCCAGATGTTTACCCCATGCTACGGACATGCAGAGATAAGCCATCTTGGGTCCGACGCCCGGTAGCGATACGAGGCCCTCGATGGTGTTGGGGATATCGCCATCCCATGTATCGCGGAGTATCTCAGCTGTTTGCTTGATATACCTGAAAACCAGTCAGTCCAATCTCGATCAGTCCATACCGATCGGGTGACACAAACTTCGTCTTGTTGTTGTGAAAGCCGACCGCCCAGATGAACTCGTTCAGAAGCTTAGGGTCGATTGCCAGTATGTTATTTAGGTTTAGTCCTGGGGGCGCCCCAGGTTCAAACGGTGGCAGCTCAGTTTGCATCTTCTTCATAACCACGGCGTTCACCGTGTCCTTTGTCTGACTCGACAGCATGAGCGCCACTAATGTGTGAAATCTTTGGTCTTTTGGTGATGCGTTTCGATCCGCCAGGCGTTCGCATCCCATAGTGTCAACAGCTGCACCGTAAGCTCGCCCACCTGGTGCCCGCATCTTCCTCACAGTATCATAAACGGCTTCCCAATCTGACGGAGGTTCCATCTTCGTTTCGCCAGTTGTTGCATCCAAGGCTTTGCGAGCAGGCTTACGAACCCGTCGCGCTTTTGCTGGGGGTGGTGGGATATCATCGAGGGCTTTGTCGACCACTTCAGGCTTTACAGCTTGGGTGGATGTCGAAATTTCAGTCTTGGTCACTACGGCACGCCTTCGTTTAGGAGCAGGACCTCCATTGTCTTCGATATCGGCGAGCGTGTGTTTGGACTCTTCTGTTGAGGTGAAAGCAAATTTGGCCAGTGCAGATCTTGTCAGTCGTCTTGGAGGTGAAATAGGCTCCGCCGTATGATCGAATAGCTTCGAAGCATCTCTTGATATCCGTGATGAGCGCATTTTGTTTGTTTCGTCCGGTTCGTTTGGTAATTGTAAATTGTTCTGAGTCGCGACTTATCATGGTCCCCTTTTCATAGGTTGACAAATGAGATGTTACGAATTGCAAAAATTGTCCCCACCTACGGTGCTAACGTTTGTGGAGATACCCCAGAGTCTAGGGTGATGCTTCTTCAAAACGCGCCTGGAGCGCAAACACGATCTAAAGAAAATCTCTTTACTTGCTTAGGTCTTGAGTAGGCCCATATGGTACCCGAGATTTTAGGCCTCGAATATATATTGTGTTACAGGAAATATAAGAGATTTAATTATCTGAAAGCAGATTCTTAGGTAGCTGCCATGTGGCATGTAAGCATAGTAGGCAGCTTGAAGCTTCGTGAGATAGATGTCTAGCAATTTTAGCAATCAATTATTGCGGCCATCAAGGTACCATTTTGTACGAGTACGTAGGCTTCTGGGGCCATAAAGCTTTTGATAAAACACGGTGCCAAAATCTGTCTGAAGATCTACTAAAATACACTAAACTTACCTAAGTCTTTTCATCCTTTAGGATAAAGATCCTAAGGTTCCTTGCCTGCTTGCCTCCCCTTGCAAGACCAGGTAGTTTCTTGCCCTCTAACATTGAACTGTTTACCCTACTTAAAAATTCAATAGTCGCGTCTGGCAATTCCCTGACGTTTGTCGGCTGTCGACTGCACAGTCTTTATCGCCGTAGATGTAGGTCACCTTAGTAGAATGATTCAATATTCCTGTCAAGATAACCTCACTATTACGAGGCCCTAGCAAACGCCTACAGGACTTTGACCATAATTTACCAAAGTTTTATAAATAATTCAAGGATAACTTACTACGTAGTAGTTCAACTCGGTATCAAACTAGCAGACCTTCGACAGTGGTTGTTGGTTCTGCCATCATGCAAGGTTGTAAGGCTTCATAAGAATCGTTCCTCGTACGCCGCGAATAGTAGTGGAGTGACAGGTACGCATCATATATAACACTGTATCAATCGCACAGGGCATTCTTTATCTATCAAGGTCCTCAAATTTGACACATAATAAGAGCGGCTTCTGGGGCAGAGAGAACAATTTGCCATTTAACATAAATTTTTTGTTATCATTCATCTATACTACATTTTGGGTCATTAAATCTTAGGCTCAAGCTTTTGCATATCGACGACGGCACGGATACAGTCACCCTGCTTCATCGTCTCGAAGGCGTTGTTGATCTCGCCGAGAGTCTTGCGGTGGGTGATGAACTCGTCGACCTTGAGATCACCCTTCTTGTAGTCGGCGACCAGGTCGTTCAGCTGAGAGCGGCCCTTGACACCACCGAATGCACATCCTCGCCACACTCGGCCGGTGACAAGTTGGAAAGCTGTCCAAAGTTAGTATCTGCGAATTCCAATGCTATTAGGACTGAACTTACGTCGCGTGGAAATTTCCTGACCAGCGGCAGCAACACCGATGACAATGCTTTCACCCCAACCCTTGTGGCAAGCCTCAAGGGCAGCACGCATGACACCGACGTTGCCAGTGCAGTCAAAGGTGTAGTCACAACCACCATCAGTCATCTCAATGAGCTTGTCTTGAATGGATTGGTCACCGAGCTCGGTGGGGTTCACGAAGTGAGTAGCACCGAATTTGTCACCCCAGGCCTTCTTGGAGGGGTTGACATCAACAACAATGATCTTGCCAGCTTTACGGGCAGCGGCACCCTGGACGACTGAAAGACCGACACATCCGGCACCGAAGACGGCCACGTTGTCACCCTCCTGAACGTTGGCTGTAATGGTAGCAGCACCATATCCAGTGGTGATACCGCAGCCAAGCAGGCAGGTTCGGTCCATAGGAGCATCATGCTCGATGGCGACTACGGAGATGTCGGCGACGACGGTGTACTGAGAGAAGGTGGAGGTGCCCATGAAGTGAAGCAGATCCTTGCCCTTGCACTTGAATCGAGAGGTACCATCGGGCATCAGACCCTTACCCTGAGTGGCTCGGATCTTGCCGCAGAGGTTGGTCTTTCCGGACTTGCAGAACTTGCACTCCTTGCATTCGGGGGTGCTGTTCAGGAATACGTCAGCTTTTGCGAGATTGATGAAGGTATAAAATGCATACTAAAGGGCAACAACGTGGTCACCAGGCTTGACGTTGGTGACACCCTCACCGACGGACTCAACAATACCAGCACCCTCGTGTCCGAGGACAATGGGGAAAGCACCCTCAGGGTCCTTACCGGAGAGAGTGTAGGCATCTAAAGCCACGTTAACACACTAATCTTGAGCAGATTTGCACGACTCAAGAGCTACGGGAGCTCGATGACGTGGGCAGAGCATACCTGTGTGGCAAACACCAGTGTAGTAGACCTGGATACGGACCTCGTTGGCCTTGGGAGGAGCAACTTCAATGTCCTCAATGGACAGAGGCTTACCGGCCTCCCAGGCGACGGCGGCCTTACAGGTGATGGTCTAGTGATAGCATCAGCGACGGGTCTTCATGATGGTTCTCGTTCAGGGCGGGGCACTGGGCATGATGAGGGGTAGTAAAGCTTGTGAAAGACATACCTTGCCCACGGTAGACATGTTTCTGTGTTGTGAGGATGAAATTGACTGTCGATGAAGAAGGAAAGAAGTGAATAACAAGACAGACAAACAATTTGAGGGGTAGATGAATCTTCAAGGGGAATCTGTTTATGTACGTAGAAACAGTAGGAAAACCGTCCGCACACTCAGATCCCGATCACCGAGCAACTCCGGTGGGCAACAACGTACCCCGCAATTGGAGCTCCAATCCACATTCACTAAGATAGGAAAAGAATCGCGGCTTCGGCCATGAGATTAATGTTCATTGGGCGTATGACGCCCAATTTGACTCTCCTTACGTGAGAGCATTGTGCGGGGACATTGGCAGAGCATGCCAAGGTACTGCGCCATTGGTGTGAAGTGCTGAGATGGCATTGGCAGAGATAGCCAGACTGCTCCAAAGACGGAATACTCTTTCGGCAGATGAGACCGACCTGGCCGACGGTTAGGGAGAGAAGCCGCACCTGTGAGTCAGGACGAGAGCTCCTTGGGGCTTCACGGGGTCGGAAGACCTTCCGTTTGACGCCGTGCCCACTTGACGTGATCTTTGGCAAAAGGTTAAAGCGGTCTTGGTTCCGAACGCTCGGGAAGATGAAGATAAGAGATTACTGCATTTCAGAATTTGGAAAGAAGCAATTCAGACCCTTCCAAAACTTCCATCAATCAAACAAGTTGGACCCACCTTCAGTGAAGCTCTCTCTTTACATTCTGCTTTTGTTATCGCTCATAATACCAAGAAAAACCACAGTTCGAAATGTGATCGAGTACTCGTGTTTTGTCTCGATTTATGCTTAATGATTTCCTCTTGACTTGCAAGAGCTCAAGTACTGCATGCAGTCTTTGTGGGCACAAAATTCGACTAATTTGAAGTCTTACCAGTCCTACAGACATGCGACAAAGGAGCAGGAAAGTCAGCCTTCAATGAAACAAACATGGCGGACCAGCTTTCACATTTTGCTGGAACGATAACTATTGGCTTGGTTGAGTTACTAGAGAAAGCCCATCCGATGTCATGTGCAGGGGTCGCGTCGGATAAACAACGGCTAGTGTTACCCATCGCGATAGCTCCAAAAAATATCCCAAGCGCGTTCAGCTCAAGCAAACAGGAGCTTGCAACTCAACACCGCTTTAACAATTTATATCCATTCCACCACTAAATACGATCATCCCATGCGAAAATAGCGCAAGGCAAATTGAGGGAGCGAAGAATCAAGATTAATTCACGCGCCGATAAGGCCTAGCCAAATTCGAAGGCAGAGGAGTTCTGTCTAGCATAATGTCATCTCGCTTTATTGTTCCGGACTCTAGTCCTCCAGCAAGCCCAGCGCCATCAACGCCAGACAAGAGCGGCCGCGGCACAGGTTTTTCGTTTCTTGCCGATAATCCTTCAACGACTCCAGCTGGACCACCTCCATCTTCAGTCGCTTCATTTACACCCGCGGGTGCCCCGTCTGATTCATACATGGGAAGCTCTTTCATGCGTGGCATGACTGACACAAAGCCTCTGAGCTTTGGCGTGTCCAACAATTCATCCTCTGGAAGAAATCTTTTTGGTCGCACAGGCGCCTCAAGCAACCTGCTTGGTCGATCCATTAGAGGACGACAGCCTTCAGGATTGAGTCGCCAATTCAGCGCAGCGGACGAGGAAGATGAGGATCTAGAGGAAGACCAAGATGCCGAAGGAGATGTGGAGCTCCCACCCCCACGAGGTAATCTTTTTCGCATGTCTGCTGCTCCAGACGAACGCCTCGAGGATGACGAAGTTGACGCCGAGATCGAACGCTATATCGACCAAGACATTGCCGGTGAGGAAGATGAGAGAGCAAGCTATGAGGAAGACGACCATGTTTTCGAGCGCGAAGAATCCGAAGAACCCGATATGTTCTTGAACATGAGACACGACGATCGACCCTATGGCCAGCCTATGATTGGCGATGAATCCGACCTCATGATGCTCAACACACCAGCCGCGACAAAACGAGTGCGTCAAGAAGCAGAAAGCATTTTCAGACAAACATCAGCCCATCTTGGCATGTCAGGGCGCCAGGAGGGTTTCCATTTTGCATCGATTGCCAAAAATCTTTACAGTCAGCACGAACATGCACAAATTGTCGAACCCGCAGATATGATACTCGAAACCGAAGAGCTCGTATGTAGGCTATACGAAGAGGGAGTTGGACCTGAGGATGACGTTGAGAAGATGGACAATTCTTTGTCTAACATCACATTCCGCTTGATTGAACTATGGAAGAAGACTATGAATGGACTGCCACAACCAGAAGGAGAAGATTTTGCAACCATCGGTCCTGGTCTCAACAGTGACCCATTTGAGAAAGCCGCCTATGTCGCACCACTGATACTTCGAATGCACCATACTCGCTTCGGCACTAATACCGACGAGGAGAAGGCACCACCGCTGCCCGAAATCCTGTTCGACTGGATGCATAAGAACCATAACCTGTACCCTGATCAGGTGCGTGAGGTCAGCCGCTACATACCAAGCCCTGCATGCCATCCTCTATTCTGGCAGACTGTCCGATGCTCCTTGCTACGAGGAGATGTTGGCAGCGCATCCCATCTACTGAAAGAAGCTGGTTGGCAAAATGTTCGCCGAGGACCTAGAAGTGATTATGCGTACACGGGCAAAGCTCTTGAGAATGTCAGACGCTTTGCCGCAGCCACTAGCGAAGTCCTGGACCAGTGCCCAGGTACAAGATCAGAGTGGGACATCTGGAATAGCAACTGGACTCTTTTCCGAATTCAGGCTCGCGGATCTCTGAATCGAATGACCCTATTCGCCGAAGGAAGGGAACAGGATATCCAGGATTTGATGGACGATGAGTTTGCACCCCAACAACAATCACTATCCACCATGGCTCGGAAGGCCTCAAGTCAAATCCCTTGGGATATCTACGAGAACTTACAAACCGTGTATGGTATCGTTCTTGGCAACCATGAGGCCATCCTGGAAGTCGCCCAGGATTGGTGTGAAGCAACGATAGGCCTTTTTGGGTGGTGGGATGATGGGAATCAACGGCATAAGGCCCTGAGACTTTCACAATCGCAGTTACTGCGGGCATCATCTCGCTTCGCTGGCTCCGAAGACTACTTCGATCGACTGGCAACTGCTTTTCACATGGTTGTGCAGTCAGATCTTAACCCTAATGTTTTAAACCCCGTCGAAGTTGCCGTAGCCTCCGCTTTTGAAGGAAACGTTAACGCGGTGCTGGGATTCCTGAGGATATGGTCATTGCCACTGGCATGTACTGTGGCAGAAGTCGCATCTCTAGGCGAATGGCTTCCCGCTCCTACCGGACCCAACCTGTTTCCTACGGATAGTCTGGATATGGACGATCTTGCGCTACTAGGTGTGACTCAGCCAGGACCTGATGAACTGGATGGTATCAAAGACACAACTCTTGTCCTGTACGCTAGGGAACTGGCAGGTATAGAGCAACTGTCAACAGAGCGTGATGGGTGGGAAATGGCCATACAGGTGTTGGGCCGGATGGATTCGCCCGAGAGATCAGAGGAGACAGTGGGCGAACTCCTTCGAGATCTCCTTGCTACGTTGAATGAGAACTCAGGACGGACCGTGGACAAGATTTGGACAATACTGAATGACCTTGGCATGATTAACTACGCCGAGGAAACCGCAGAGGTTAGTAATCTTGATTAAGATGCTGAACTAAACTGACCCGAAACAGACATTCGCAGAGATCCTTTCCAAGGAGTCTCATCGCTACGGCGAGGCTCTCTGGTACTATGCACTGTCACATCGTTCAGACAGGGTCCGGGAGGTGCTGAATCTACTGATGTGCTACTCGCTTGTCCAGTCCACAGTCTACCCCTCAGAGAAGGATCTAGATCAGGACCTCAAGGATCTATTACGAAAGCGAACTGAGACCCTTGAGAAACGGGCCAAGCAGGATCTTGAAGCAGCTCAACTGCTTGGCCGAATGCTCAGCGGTTACGCCACACTACGCAAGTTTTACGAGCTCCGCGATGCTGAGGACTTGGAGAATATTTCGCCTACAAAGGCCCTCAAATTGAAAAAGCAAGCCGCATCTGCATTAGTTGCTGTTATTTCTAGTTCCGACGACAACATCCGTGGTGGGCTTTACGACGAAACGCGGGATGCAGTAGTCAGCGAGGACTTCCTCTTGGCCCTGCTGGGAGAGGCCACTGTCTTTATTAATCAATCCCCAGCCATCGTCACACTCCCCCAGATCGATGTTCTGCTCAAAGCCATCGAGGATTTACAAACAGTTGGTGATCGAGTCTATTCGGCGTGCGACGATTTCTTCAATCTTGTATTGGCATCTGCCCAGGGACTGAAGGGCTCTACACCACAAGATCTAATGGCCAAATCAACAGCCTCTCTAGGCGGAAGCTTCATGATGACCGGAAGCTCCGTGTTGGTGAATCATCTGCACAAGTCGATCTCGGCGGGAACAAAAGTCAACAGAGGATGGGACTGGAGGAAGGGTTGGCTTGCAACAAGCAAGGGCGAAGACGTTCTTCGAAAACTTCGACTAGGATTGGCAAAGGACCTGGCGACACTGTGGCTGGAAGACGCAGATGGTGCCGTTGCCTACTAGAAGGCGTGTATTTGAACAAGAATGACTTTTTGATGCTTTGATACATAAATCCGGATTGGCGAATGGAAGGCGCCTTTGGTAATACAAGACATGAGCGAAATGTACTATATGCCCCTATGTTCTCAGAATGGGCATTAGATCCAAACAATGATTTATAACCCCTACTTTTTGAACACATACCCGTCCTATTCCTAGGTTATACAGATGATATGGATGGGACCCATCTCCGCCGGTGTTCGGATGGCGGAGACCCCCACATCCCCGGACATCGGTTCTTAACGCCAATCGGCTCTTGTCAATTTACAATTGACCAAAAAATTCCGCCCCGACTTCGCCCCCACCACAAATTTAGGGAATAACATCTGTAACAAGACGACCAAAAGAGTCATCTTTCATTGCTGCCGTGTATAGCCCAACATGGTTTCAATGGAGGTCGCCAGCCGCTCAGGCGGTGCCATGACGGTAAGCTACACCATTATGTCAATTGGGAGCCTCTCTGCAGGAAAACATAGATGCACAAGCTGACCCTTGCACACGGCAATAGCAACTCTTGCGACGTTCCGGTCCTAATGCCATTCGATCAACCACCGTTGTATCTAATAACACAAGGAGAAACTTCTCAAGCGCGAAGCCTCTTCCCCCTACCTACGAAAAGCTATACACCAAGTACACCGATGTCCGTCGAGTTCTCGGCAAGCAGCGTCTGACCCTCGCCGAGAAGATCCTCTACAGCCATCTCGACAACCCTGAGGACTCCTTGCTGAACAACACCGACAATGGACGAAACATCCGCGGGAAGGCCAATTTGCGCCTCAAGCCCGACCGTGTCAACATGCAGGATGCTTCTGCTCAGATGGCTATTCTTCAGTTCATGTCCTGCAACCTCGCCAAGCCGGCAATCCCTGCAAGCATTCACTGTGACCACTTGATTGTTGGCTCCAAGGGTGCTGAGGATGATTTGTCTGCTGGTATCCAGACTAACAAGGAGGTTTTTGACTTCCTTGAGTCTGCGGCGCGCAAGTACGGAATGGACTTTTGGCCTCCTGGTGCTGGTATTATCCACCAGACCGTTCTTGAGAACTATGCTCTTCCTGGATTGATGATGCTTGGTACCGACTCTCACAGCCCCAATGCTGGCGGTCTCTCTACAATAACCATTGGCGTTGGTGGTGCAGATGCTGTTGAAGCCCTTGTCGGTGCTCCATGGGAACTCAAGGCCCCCAAGATTTTGGGCGTGCAACTTGTCGGCAAGCTGAGCAACTGGGCTTCTCCCAAAGACGTCATTCTCCGGCTTGCTGGCCATCTCACAGTCCGTGGTGGCACTGGCTCTATCATTGAGTATTTTGGTGAAGGTGTCGAAAGCCTGAGCGCCACCGGCATGGCTACTATCTGCAACATGGGGTAAGTTTGTTCTATAAACCAGGGGATCTGGAAAATACTGACTTAATCAAGCGCCGAAGTCGGTGCCACAACGTCTATCTTTCCTTACACCAAGGCTTCGGCTAGATACCTTGACTCGACCCGGCGATCTCAGGCCAACAAGAACATTGAAGCTCTGGAGACCTTTGCCAGCAACAGCTCCGACCCTGATGCTCGATGGCAATTCAAGGCCGATGAGGGCGCTGAATACGACGAACTCATCACCATCGATCTTTCGACTCTCGAACCTCACATTAATGGCCCTTTTACACCAGATCTGGCCACACCACTCTCTAAGTTCAAGGAAGTTGTGAAGGAACAGGACTGGCCCCAGGTTCTTTCTGCAGGTCTCATTGGTAGCTGCACCAACAGCTCTTACGAGGATATGACCCGTGTCGAGAGTTTGCTTAAGGATGCCAAGAAGGCTGGGCTAAAGCCTGCTGCCGACTTCTACATCACTCCCGGAAGTGAACAGATCCGCGCCACGCTTGAGCGCGATGGTACCCTTGAGACATTCCAGGAGGCCGGCGGAATTGTTCTCTCAAATGCCTGTGGTCCCTGTATTGGTCAGTGGAAGCGACAGGATGGCGTTGAGAAGGGCACAAGCAATGCTATCCTGACCTCGTATAACCGAAACTTCCGTGGCCGAAATGATGGTAATCCTGATACCATGAACTTTCTGGCCTCTCCCGAGATCGTCACCGCCATGGCCTTCGCCGGATCCACTACCTTCAATCCTGTGACCGATAGCATCAAGACACCTGATGGCAAGGACTTCATGTTCTCTCCTCCTCATGGTCTTGAGGGTCCCCAGACTCCTTTCGAGTCTGGCAACGCCGAGCTTGGTGTACTATCCCAGGCCCCTGACCCTAACACCAAGATCGCCATCTCTCCCACTTCTGAGCGTCTGGCCTTCCTTGAGCCCTTTGCCCCTTTCCCCTCGTCTGATCTCTCTGGCCTTCGTGTTCTTGTCAAGGTCACAGGCAAATGTACGACAGATACCATCTCCGCAGCCGGCCCCTGGCTCAAGTACAAGGGCCATCTGCCTAACATTAGCACTAACACCCTCAACACCGCCATCAACAAGGAGACTGGTGAGGTCAACGCTGCCTATGACCTCGACGGCTCCAAGCACACTATCCCTGAGCTTGGCCAACTCTGGAAGGAACGTGGTCAAGAGTGGCTTGTCGTTGCTGAGCACAACTATGGTGAGGGCTCAGCTCGTGAACACGCTGCCCTGCAGCCTCGCTACCTTGGTGCCCGTGTTGTTCTGACAAAATCGTTTGCCCGTATTCACGAGACCAACCTCAAGAAGCAGGGTGTTGTACCTCTGACCTTTGAGAACGAGGCTGACTATGATAAGATCGCCGCTGGCGACGAGGTTGCCACTGTCGGTCTGTATGAGATGCTCCAGAATGGTGGCAAGGGCGATGTTCAACTTCGTGTCACTAAGGCCTCTGGTGAAGAGATCCTCATTCCCACTAAACACGCTGTTACCAAGGACCAGGCTGGTTTCATTCTTGCTGGCAGTGCTCTCAACTTGCTGTCTAAGGGCATATAAGACGAGCTGCTCCCTTTCTGAGCATTAGTAGATATAACTTTCGGGCCACAGGATAGGTTCCTCTTGCGATGCCCAAAAATGCCCGAGTTATGTGTTAGGCTGGAGAAAAAGGGCGTTTTTGGTCGGGTAAAAATGCCGAATGATAGATTGTTTATACCAGCAATACCAATTGTTTCTGTTCTCTAGCCACTCCCACGATTTACAAATGAACCACATGCATATATACGCCTTTTGTTTTCATCAATTGATAATATACCTGTATTGCTTCTTAAAGAAGTGGAAATTTCCTAACTGTGTAACTCCGAATTCGAACCCATGAACTCCTGTGGCATATTTACTTTTGGATTGTTGGAATCACTTGCCCTTCGTTGACAAGAACGAAGATGGCCGTTTGCCCAAGATGCACTAGTCAAAACCCAAGTAGACAGTCTCCTTGACTCCTTTGCAATGCACCGTCATCATATATCGTGTGAATTCATCAAGCGTTCAAGCTCTGAAAGTAGCTCTCTGTCTCTTTGGTCTTGTTGTTGACATGTCGCTGGCGTACAGTCGCCTTATCCTCGCATTCTCTGAACCAAGCGCAGGCTTTCAACCAAGCAGGATTACTCCGCACATACTCAGGCAGTTCCTCCTCGGGCAGGTCACCGAAGTCAAGAATACGCTTGACACCCCGCGGCTCTGGTGGTATGTAGGGGGGAGTAGTCCCGTCTTGCTGAGCTTGTTTGGTTTTCTGTTGCTTCTTCACCTCTAGAGCCTGTAACCAGCGTTGTCTCTCCACAACCTTGCCAAACCACTCTTTGCGTTTTGGACGCCGTCTGATTTCATCGCACTTCTGTCTATACCATGCACGGGATCGCTTATGCATGTGATGGATTGCTGGATTCACCGGAAGATAAAGTGGCTTTTGGTCGCCGTAAACTGGGCGGTACTTGACAATACGCGAAGATATAGTAACATGCGGGGGTGGTTGCAAACTCGACTGTCGATAAATGAGAGAGTCGAATGCCTCAGAATCGAACTCGACTAAAAGCCTCTTTTTGCGAGCTTCTGCTTTGGCACGGGAGGAGAGCGGCACGGGTTTGGCCGGCTTTGCTTCCTCGTCAATGTCACTAACATCGGCCATATTCACCTCATCATCGATTTCGGCGCTGACTTCAGGCAGGGAACCTTGAAAGTTCTGTTTCCTGACTGGGAGCCCTTTACTTGTCAGGGGAGCCGAGCACTTAGTGGGAGTTGATAAGAGCTTCGCCTTCGAACTCGTTCGTGTTTCTGGATAATGATGCTCCGAACTTTTCTGTGTATTGTCCTTCTTTGGCTTGGATATCCGAGTAGAAGACCTAAATTTGGCACCGTCTTCAGGAGTAACCTGCATATGATTCACAGGAGCGGTGGAAGGAACGGGCGATTGAGAGTCAAGGCCTAGGGAAGGCTCGGTCTTCTTAAACCCTTCGTTTGAAGGAGGCCCTTCAGAAGCCGCTTGCGCCGTCCCAACCAAGTGTTGACTGTCAGTTGCACCGACAAATTGCCCATTTTGACGCGCATCCATTTTGGGATTCTCCGTGGGATGCGTTGCCGATCCAATATCTGAACAAGAACTCAGTTTTTTGGTGGCACGATCGAGGCCAAATGGCTGGTTTATCACCTCCTCTGTCCGGGCTTGCAAATCCATAGCCAATGGCATCCTGATGTTCGTTACAGTATGCGAATTTACCTCGTTGGTAGAAGAGCCCTTATCAGCTTTCGCTAAATCTTGGGCTGCCTTAATCTGCGCGAAGTCGGGTGCCGATGCAACGTGGCTGGTTCCGTTCCTCTCTGGCCCAGGATGAAGGTTTCTGTCATTTGTATCAATGGATTTGTCTTGCACCAAAGACGAAGGAGGGGCATCTCGCTCATTTGTTTTTGGAGACTGTGTCACGGGAGCGCCGATATCCGGACTAGAGGCACCTTGAGATGGTGCATCATGCCTAGAAAAGTGCCGTGAAGGTGTAAACACGAATTTGCCTCGACCTCTTTTAGCAACAAAATTCCTGTTAGCGGGTCGGAAGCCCTTGGCCATATTCGTAGCAGAGGAATCTCTGCTGGCCGCAGTTGGCTCTAATGATGAGTGTTCATCACAGTAATGCCTGGAACTAAGCAGAATGATCCTTTCACAAGTGAGAACGGCACAAGTGCCGCCGACATGTGTGGAGGCAGTCATTCAGAACCTCGTTGATGGGCCAAAACGCAGAACTGATCCACCACACGCAGGCTTTTACGACTGGATTGAGTCATGAGGCGCGTAGATGAAGGATTACCTAGGTGTCATGTTAGCAATATGCGTTTAAATCAGTAATGCTGAGCAAGTATTGTATAAGAAGTCGAATCAGATCTTTTCAGTTTTGAATGGCCGTCAAGCTAGGCACCTCGTCGGTTGGCACATAATCTTTTCTGACAGGTGTGTTGATTCAGTGAATCTGCTGTTTGTCGCGGCCTTTGGTCAAGATCCGTGGCGAAGACGAGGAAGAAGACTCCATTGTGCGACAATAGAAACTCTATGGCAATCGGCCCCAGCGCTCTTCAAACAAGCTTAGAATGTAGGAGAGCAGTTACAGCTGAGGTGCAGTATGGAATGACAGGGTTGATTCAGGCAACAATGTCATTGACAGAGTCAGAAGAGAAGATGGCGCAACCAGAAGGGTTCCGTTCAGTCAGACCTTTTACCATAGGCATCATTTAACGAGCATAAAGTAAGACAGAGAAAACGAAATCAAAATATCTTACCGAGGTCTGAGACCACCCAGAGAAGAGTTCTGATGCCCTATCCGTGCGTTATGCTTGTTGTGCTAATCGAAAATACTGTGCAGCCGATAATTTGTATTATGTAGACGGAGGCGAAAGGACAGTGTTATACTGTAGTAGAAAGAAGCAAAGGGAACTAGGTCGCGTCCGAGACAGTTCCCCACGGCTGCCCTGTGTTGAAAGAGTAGGAGTGACTATGTGCGTTCTGAGCTTATGTATAGGTTGACGAGCCAGCCGACATCAGGTAGTAAAGGACAAATAGAGAATAGGATTAGGATCAGGGAAAGAATGAAAGAGATCTCCAGCCGCCAGAGGCAGAGAGGCGTATGACTGTGGTCGTTGGTTTCGCGCCTTTCATTGCGGGCTGGTCCTGTTGCTACTGGCTCGCTATTGGCCCAAGCATTGATGATGATGAAGGATGGGATGCAGAGGCGCCGGGAAGACCTCCCTGGTGGGGAGGTTCCCGAGGTGAGTTGCCCCGAGCTGGAAGACTAATTCTTCCGCCCCGACTGCCATGCCTACCAGTGGAGCCCCACAAGCCAACCAGGCCAACTTACACCCATGAGCGTGTCCAGCGAGATATTCTGCTCTGCCTGCCTGTTGACTCAAGACATAGGTGATAAATAAATCGATTTATGCTTGTATCTATAGAAGCTCAGTGAAGACTAGGTTTTATTCAAGACTGCTAACTCTGCAGCTGGTGAGCATAAACGCACTGTAAAGATAAAGATCAAGTCCAAACCCAATATCTCTTTCACATTCTTTGTGATGCAAACAAGACGCCTCAAAATTCATTTATCCAGGTACTCAAGTACCGTGTTGATTTGCCTCAACTAATTTTTCTTCAGACTTTTTAACAAAACCACTCATCTTTGGTTCAGATAACTGTTCCGGCCCAAATATGTACCTGATCTATATTCAGGTCCAAGTCTTTTTGAGTCCGATGACCGGGGCTAATTCCCTCTACAGTCCAGTCAGTGGCGAATTAATCAAACCTACCTGGATGTTAGATCCCACGGAGTTACATATATACACCATGACCTATCCAAAGCCCAAACTTTAGTATGTTGCTGGCGCTCAGTATGTTCTGGGCTCTTACATGGTCAGATGGATTAGGTAACCCTGACACCCCTCCATCCCCTGTTAAATTTATCAGGCACTAGCGCGGGGGTCTTGAGCTCCCTGACGTACAGCGCCAATAACCACGTTGCGACTCTGGAACCAATATATCATTCGTCTACATAGTACAAACAACAATATTTCCGACCTGTACATATGCCGATTGTCGACAAGTAGGGTGTTAAATGCTCAAGTCCCAGTACAATTTCTAGACTTTGCGACACTGGAATGAACTTTCTCAAATCTGCCGTGGCCTCGGCCATCGCACAAGGCCCTCCCTTTCCATACAATTTTGGCGACAAGGTTGATATCGATGAGTCCATCTGGACCCTGTATAATGGAACCAGGAGGGTAAGCTCAACGTCGCAGAGCGTACAACGTGGACTTGCTGACAATCTCTGAATAGGAAGATGGCTCAAACTGCAGCATCTTTTCCTTTGATATCACCACCAACCGATCCCAACTCCCCCTAGCCAAGAATGCCCTAAAGAAGCTCCGAACACTACGGCACCCAGGCGTGATCAAACTTCTAGATGCGGTCGAGGTATCTACAAGACTGCCTGTCGGTTTAAGAGCATTCCGCTAACAGCATCTGACAGACGGAGACGTATATCTACATTGCGACCGAACGAGTGGTACCCCTACGATGGCACGTTCGAAGAAAGAGTCTCAGCCCTGAGACGATAAAATGGGGCTTGCATAGCGTTGCGGTACGGCTTGCTATGTTAGTCTTTTAATCAATATTAATGATGTTACAGCGCACTATAAAATTCATCAACGAAGACGCTTCCTCGATCCACGGCAGCATCAAAGTTGCATCGATATATACTTCAGAGAGTGGCGAGTGGAAGCTCGGCGGCTTTGATGTTCTCAGCAGCCTCAAGGACGATGAGTCAATAATATATGCAAGAGGTCCCCATATAGGTACCCGTATAACCAGGCTAACATATTCATAGACATACGGTAGCTTGGTACCTGATGCGGGTCGATACTCTCCTCCAGAGTTGGCACGAGGCGGATGGGATGTTATCAAGAAGAATCCCCATACAGCAGTAGACGCATTTAATCTCGGAACATTGATCTTTGAAGTTTTCAACGGCGATTACAATGGAGCTGATCAGGCTGGCCAAACGAAGAGCATCCCCCCTTCAATGCAGTCCAGTTATAAGCGTCTGTGTAACGCGAACCCAAAGGCCCGAATCAGTGTGGGAGCTTTCCTTGATCAAGGCAACCGAAATGGCTCTTTCTTTGACAGTTCTCTCATTAAGCTGACCGAGGGTATCGATAATCTGGACATCAAGACGCCAGATGAACGAGAAGAGTTCCTTAGGTACATCTTCAGCTCCTTTTATACCTCCAAATTGCTAATCATTTGAACAGTGGACTGGACGAACTGAGCGATGACTTTCCAGAAGAGTTCTTCAAGCTAAAGGTTATGCCGGAGCTGATGAAGTCCGCTGAATTCGGTGGCGGTGGCCCTAGAGCTGTATCCGTAGTTCTCAAAATCGCATCTAAACTCCCCAAGGACGACTTCGATTCAAAGATTACACCCTTCATCATTCGCCTATTCGGAAATCCCGACCGAGCTATTCGAGTGTGCTTATTGGATAGCCTTCCTTTGATGATTGATCAGCTATCACAGAAGATCGTCAACGACAAGATCTTTCCACAATTGGTACAGTCTCTCTTACTCGACTTCAATGCATGACTAACATATACAGATCACTGGCTTCACTGACGTAACACCAGTGGTACGAGAACAAACATTAAAGTCTGTTTTGGTCATCATCACTAAACTCTCGGACCGCACGATCAATGGTGACCTCCTCAAACAACTTGCAAGAACCGCAAATGATGAGCAACCAGGTATTCGAACAAATACAACTATCTGCTTGGGAAAAATCGCAAAGCACTTGGGTAGTTCGTCCCGCTCAAAGGTTCTCATTGCAGCCTTCACCAGATCACTCAGAGATCCATTTGTACATGCCCGAAATGCTTCCTTAATGGCCTTAGGTGCCACTGCGGAGTACTTCACTGATGAAGATAGCGCATGCAGGATCTTGCCCGTTATCTCTCCTGTCTTGATTGATAAGGAGAAGATTGTTCGCGACTCTGCTACTCGTACTATGGATATATACCTCCAAAAGATCAAGAAGGCAGCTTCTGCCATGCCTGAAAGCGTTTTGCCTCCTCCTCAGACTAATGATGGCTCAGCTCCACGGATGAGCACCCCACAGCCAAACGAAAACACACCAGGTGGCTGGGCAGGCTGGGCAATCTCTTCTTTTACAAACAAAATCTCTGCGGCTGCAGGGGAAATTCACGCCGAATCAGACTCCCGTGCTGCTTCACCTGGGCCCGCGCCCTCACCCAACTCCGAGCCAAAGAAGCCGGCAACGAGCACCGCCTCGTCACTTCACCGCCAAGCAGTCAAATCTCCTCCAGCAACACTCTCACGAAACTCTTCACATACCGCAAGTGTGGTAGCCGACTCATTTTTACCTGCCGACGATGGTGACGATGCTGGAGACTCTTGGGGAGATATGAACGATGACTTCGACAGTTTCGACTCTCCCGGCCAATCCTCCAAACAGTCTACGACAACGCCTGCATCTACTGCCGCTTTTGATGATGGCGAACCTGACTTTGCTGGATGGTTGGCTGCCCAATCACATAAAAAGCCCACCAAGGCTTTGCCAAAGGGTCTATCAAAATCAAGTGCAGCTAAGAAGCCCGCGACTAAATCGGCTACGAAACCAATTGCTGCGAAAAAGATTGATATGAAGCCGAAGGAAACAGATGACGATGATGGTTGGGGCGATGGCTGGTAATGATAGACTCGAGAGTCAGAAAGTTTTGAGGAGTCGGCACTTTTCATGAAATATCGCTTTGCCATATCCGCCACTCTTTGTGAGGGAGCATCAAGATACCATTCTCGAGCATACACTGGTATGTCGATTGTTGATTGAAGCCATTCATAATATTTTAGTTGGACACATATAGACACCGTCATCTGATAGCACTCATGATACTAGCTATAAGTGTTTAAGATTGAAAAATACATTTAATCCCTATTTTATGATGAGGGTCAATCGATATCCCGACTCCAGACCGAATACTGACCTCGGTGAGCATTGCGCCCCACTAAAATCGCTCACCTTGATTTTTATTTTTCCCCACCAGACCCAACAGCGTTCGACTATCTCGCTCCAACCTTCTCCCTGCGCAATCACCAGATTATATCTCAAGGTCCCTCAAAATGGCTCAAGGCACAGTCAAAAAGCTCGGACGAGCAACCCCAGCCAAGATCACACACTCAAAGCGACAAGCATCGAAGGTGCATAAACCCAAGAAGACAAAAGCGAGCGTCGACAAGGTGCACAAGAAATTCACAAGCGGCATGACGGCGCGCACTGAAGCGCTCCTCGGTGAGCGCGCAGGACATCTGGAATTGCTTGGACAAGGAAAGAAGAAGACGGATAAAAAGACGACTCAAAAGGGCGGTTCGAAGAAATTTGGTTAAGGATTATGTGATAATACCGAAGGCGGACGATGATCGAACTTTTTTATGTCTAAACGAGTGACTGGGTTTCCCTCCCAACTGCGCACCAACGACGGCCGCCATAGACAGGCACGACTAAATACGCGGGCCATCTCACTTAACGGGCTTTACGATGGGATATCTCCAAAGACTTTTCGAGCATTTTGCAACTCGGAATCCTGAAATTCATTCCTACCCGCACAATGGCTCTTTGTTTTTGGAGGACCAGTCACCGTCACTTTTTTGCTGCTGCTACAAGGGCATGTCTAGGGGAAAGGACATATATATCAAAGTCATCCTCTACCCTTCCACGAAGAGTGGTCGAGTGGTATCTACCTATAAACCTATGAACCTAAAACCCTCTCCTAAAAACCTTCCTCCCTCGGCCACTCTTCGTTTTTGCTCGCGAGTTCGAATTTTGCAGCCTTGCTCTTTTTTCCCCTATAGACTGAAGCCAGCAGCAAAGATATTTAGCCAATATATTCACTCCTCAACCAAGGGCACCCAAGCACTATGTCCCCCTGTCTTTACAATATAAAGACAGAGCTTGGGCTCCTGCCGAAGCACACAATCATCCCTCCAATTCTGACTCTGATGGGGAAGGCGATAACTTGATTGATGTATACGAAGTGATAGATCTTACAGAAGATATACCGAAGAGCTTGCGGACAATGACGACCCAGAAGACGAAGTCACTGATGGTGTCACCAAGTATCCGATGGGTAACCCGGCTCCTAGCAATCACAGAAGACTCAGCCCTCAGGGAGCAGGAAAACTTCAAGAACTCAATTTAGGTGTCGGAAACAACTAAAGTAGTCTAAAGGCAAGTAAAGCCTTACCTAAGTTTACCTAAGTCTTTTCGTTATTTAGGATAGAGGTCCTAAGTCTACTAACTCTTCAACTCAACAGTCGGACCTATGCTGGAGAGATGTTCAGAGATGAGCTACACACGATACTGAAGAGCTTTGTGGACAACAACGACCCGGAAAACGATGACGAACCAGAAAACTAAGTCACGGATGGTGCTACAAAATACTGGGTAACCCGACTCCTGGAGATTAGACAAGAGCCACCTAAGGATATCACCCCTTTCCTTGTGCCTGGTATCTCACTGCCTATTATTAAAGCCGATCAACAGTTATGTCTATGCTAGAGAGAGTGTGGAAATACACTATGACGCAAGAGCTTTCTGATATTCGAGTAAAAGACTTCAAATAGCGTGCCCTTTCCGCTGGATCCTAGAAGTTGTTTTCAACGCCTCGAAGTATCAGATACTACAAAACCCCTTTTCGGATCAATCGCACCCGAAGTTATGTCACTCCTAGACCGCAGAGATCTTGAACCAGTCGGGCTCTTGGATCTGCCTCGAGCGATGATCTTTTTTTGTCTTTGGAGTGTAGGTCTGGATATTGTCGTTAAAAGTCTCGGATATGTTGGCGGACTCTACATTGGGTCAAGCGTAGCATACAGAGCATACATACATCGGGATCACAGGTCGCGTACGCACCCACTTGGCCAATGCCACGAAACCGTTCGATTCGCTATCCACAGCACGGAAATCTGAGCAATACCGTTGCCTTAGCCAACCTGGAATGTCTTCGAATTTCCGCAACCTCGCTCTTTTCAAAATCCGGGCTAATAACACCGCCCCTACTTCATCGCCGAGGCCGTTTTGATGTGCCTCTTGTCAACAGTCAAAGGGTCCTACTCAGAACAGCAAGGCTTTATGTAAATGTTACGACAGGACCTCCCTGGTGTCCAAGACTTCTCGGCAATTGGTCTCATGGAACCGTAGCATTCCGTTAGCCTATGGATAGGTACAGAGGCATGCCAATATTCTACACACTACATAAAACCTGGCTGAAGGAGAACGGCCTCGATGATGTATGCATGAATTGTGGAAGACATGCACCCGATGACGATAAAGATTGGAGTAGATGGCTCTCTAAACGCCGCTGCGGAGCATGTATCCAATATAAACAGAAGCATCGACACGACAAACCACCAGAAGAAATCGCATATGGTAACAAGTCCATCCATACACAATAGGTAGTCCAAGGCAATCGAGATGTTTGTTGCGAATGTGGTCGTCCTCAAACCAAGACAGGTTTCTATGGCTGGAGAGATAAGGCCAATTGCAGGAAATGTTACAGAAGAGCTACCTTATAAGGGCGGGCCCCCGAGTACTTCGAGGGAATACGAAGAAGAAACAGAAGGAACCCAAAGTCAGTGGCAGTTAAGTGGGTCTAATGGACAACTCCTGCAGCCTTGAGTGCAATGTTTTTGAAACTCCTTATTTTGTATGCATTTGCTATCAAAAACCAGAGTTCATAAAAACTTGCCCCCTAAGCCAGCAAGAGTACCAGTGTGATTTATTATATTTATCCACACCCCGCACCTCCACTTCCTTCAACCCGAACTCTTCACCAGCGCAACACTATATGCATGGTAACTTCAACCTGCAGGCTTGACAACTCGCACCCTACGGCCTTGACAGTGATATTCTCGCAAAGGTAAGCAAACGCCACGTGCTGCTTCTTGATTATCTCGACTAACAATCGCCGGCTGGTTAGGATATCTACGCACGCGGTTGGCGTCGAGTCTGAGGGATCTGTCCGAGATCTCTTCAAGGATCCTCCATTGAACTTGGGAACGTCCGCTTTGATGTGTCTGGCCCTGTTTCCCCGGCTGACCTCGACGTGGAAACTGTAGAGACACTTGCGCAAGAGTTTCGCAAGATTCTGCTAAACTCCGAGCCTGCTGCCGATGATCTCATGAAACTCACAATCCTGACCAATAAGATCAAATGCAACATAGCGCTCGAGGCGAAACTACAGGCAGAACGTGGCAATGATCTCTTGTCGATATTGAAAAATGTCCATCATGTCTATAGAGACATGAAACCCCTCCTCAGGAAGCAAGAAAACATCAAACCTTGAATATAAGGTGTCAAAATATGCTCAGCAAAAGGTATTCTAAACTTAGTAAAGCTATCCTAAACTAAGCAAAAGTATCCTAAACTTATACTAATTTACCTAAGTATCTTTGTCATTTAGGATCAGGGTCTTGTGCTTTCTCTCCTCCCCCGGCCCCTTTATGAACCCCTCCTCGTTGAGAATTTTGCGAAGTTGGATAAGAAGATCGATGCTATCAAGGAGCGCCTCAATGAGACCGTCACTGAGAAGATCGCAAAGATCAATGCTTCTATGCAGAATGGGGCGAAACTCTACCAACAGGCAGTCCTCAGCGCCTTTCATGAGTCCGGCATTTTCAAGGCTGCCATCGAGGAAGCTGTTGCCAAATTGCAGCCACGTCAAGCTGCCATGGATGCACGGGAAGTCATCGGCGCCTTAGATGAGGCTGGCATGTTCGAGACTATCATCGAGAGAGTCACCACCGAATTGGAACCACATTTCGAAAACCAAGCTCTCATGGGTGGACGTGCAGTCGTCAATGAGGTGACGAGTCCGACGGTTATAAGACTCTCATCGAGAATGTCGCCAAATTGCAGCCACGCATGGATAAACAGTCAAGAAAACGATATTGCCCCTATAACCCACAGACTCAACAGTTGGTAATGTCGAACATCTTTCCCTCTGCCACGTGAGTCAAGATAGAAGTCACCACCCTGAAGTCTCTGGCGACATCCACCATCCAGTTGGACACAGCCATTCGTACAGCCTTCTCTCCCTTCCAGCTCGTACCACTCACATACATCTGCCGGGTCTCATTGATCTTCTGAACTAGCTTATCGTTCAAAGTGGAATTCTTAGCACGGAAAAGAACAATCATGAAGATCTCATTCAAGTCAGCACCGTCGTCGGGGAGTAGCTCGTAGTGCTCCGAGTCCCTCAAGAACGTAGCGACCCGGCGGGATAAAGCGGTCATATTGGCCAGCAAATTTGCCATACCTGGTCGACCTTCACTGAGGAGAACCGCATATGCGGGAAGGGCACGGAACCGCCGTGAGTTCTCGAGGCCAATATTCAGGGGCGAGGGAATGGTGGACGCCCCTCCCGTAGAGAGGTATGCTGCATTGGGGTTGGTGAAGACGGATTGAAGGGTAGCAGGTGATCGCGTGAGGAACATGCCGCAGTCATAGGGCTAATCAAGTTAGCGACCCAGGTCAATACTAGTTAAAGTCAGGCTGAAATGATATGGGATACTCACGACATTGAGAAGCTTGTGCCCATCAACGGTGATACTGTCCGCTAACTCGATCCCCTCAACACGATCACGAAGAATTTTGTAGTCGTCCTCTTCGGGAAGAGCGCGAGCAAAGATACCAAAGGCTGAGATGTTAGAATGAACCGCATACTGCAAAGGGCTTGGATCTTACCTCCATCGACATGAATCCAAGCTCCATACTTGTCTGCCAACTCCCTTACTTTACGCATCTCTTCAACCCCCGATAAAGCATATCGCCCGGTGTTGACCTCTCCGGCGCTTAATGCAATAACGCTTGCGGTGTCTTTCTTCTGAAGTTCTCTTTCCAAAGCCTCGAGGTCCAATCTCCATGGCTCACTTTCGCTGAGCCTCAGCTCTTTCACAGCTCCTCGTCCGAAACCGACGACACTCGCTGCCTTAGACAAGGAGCTGTGACCTGCACTCGTGAGGATCTGGAGCTCCCTAACGCCAGCAGAAAGACAGGCCGCAAGCAAGCCGACCTCACCGATACTCTGCCCGCGCATCTCCAAGATGGCTTCGCGTCCACATGCAAGTCCAAGAACATTACTGCCCGTAGCCCCAGTTGTGAAGGTACGTCCTTTCCAATCCCCAAGTCTGAGTAGCGAAACGAGCATCTCCAAAGCTGCATCCTCCAATGTAGTTGCAATTGTCTGTGCTGGCAGATGAACCTGGACATTCTGGTCCAGGCGGGAGACTACATTGTCTGCCCACTCAGCAATAGGAAGAGTACCACCGGTGACAAACCCGTAATAACGGGACGAACTGCCCTGGCCGTTACACGCGGGAACAATGTCCTGTATGATGTGTTGTACAACATGTTCCTGTGAGACACCTCGAAGATAGTCCTCCGATTCAGGTCGAGGGAGCTTGGCTTCAGCGGTCTCGATGGCAGATAACTCGGGGAGAGTAGCTGCCGGAGCGGAGCCGGGCTCGGGGCCGTGGCGGCGGGATAAACGGGTCCGCTGGACGTCGAGATTGTATAAGTCGCTCATTCTTGCCCAGAATGTAGTTCAAAGTGATGGTAATGTTATAAATGCCTCAAGAAATGGTTTAACTGAAGAACAACATGAGTCATTCAATTTACCGCTATCTCACACCGTTCATGTAAGCCTCCCCACTTGTCTTCGCCGCTTAAGCCGCAGCTTGCGGCACGATCCTTCTACGATAGACGATGATTGTCATGGTGTTGACTCCTACAATTATCTCGGCCAACTCCTTTCGGAAGGTGGATTAGTGCTATGCAGATGTCTCCGGACTCAGAGGAGACTTATATGATGGCACGCGACGGATACAAGTTCTCGGTCTATATGAATATTTCTTTACTCTAATGGCCTGGTATGTCCGGTATGACCATCCGCCACTTGCTTCTAGACCAAGATCTTTGAACTCGATACAAGTCCACCTATATAGTGTAGCTTAATCCAACATGTGGTATGCGCCATGCCAAAATCAAATCAAATCAAATCAAATCAAATCAGAAAAAAGTGCACGCTGCCGCCTTCGAGTCCCAGAGTTGGCATCTCTCTATAGCTTGGCGCTCTCGCCGACAGCGCCAATCTTGAGGTCCTTGCCATACTTTGCCAGGACATGCTCGTTGTGGTACTTCCAGAAGGCCTTGGTAGCGTTCTTTCCAGACCAGCGCTTCAGGATCTTGGCACCACCGGGATGTTCGTCGATGAACTCTACGGGCGTTTGTCAGTTTCCATTTGTTCTGCGAGTTTGGGTTCGGTAGTCGTACTGGTCACGTCGTAAACGTCATTCTCAACAATGAGCCAGAAACCGTTGGCCTCATCCTTGTGCTTTCCAACCTCAGCGGTAGTATATGTCTCGGACATTGTGTAAGGTAGGTAGTTATAAAAGTCGAGTTACAAGGGGAATGAGAAGTTAACGAAAGAATTGAGCTGTAGATGAAAGCGTAGGTGATAAGGAATAAATTGAGTTGATGAGCTTGGAAAAGAAACAAGGAGTTCTTTCCGGGGCGCCGTCGGCAGGTGGGGGCTTGCCTCGGTTCACGGTCACGAGCAGTACTTTCACCCATTGCAGAAGCCCGGGGACCGGGGGAGCTGGGGAAGTGCGCTAGGAAAGCTACTAAGCCGGGTAGTCTGCACCTATCACAGGGAAGCAATTGTCAACTTTCACAAGGAAGCACTCGATTTGAAGCCCCAGTTCGTCCCCGTCGGCACCTGTTACTCAACATGGCCCTATTAGAGTCCAACTTTGAAGGGATGAGCTGTCTACTGTAACAGATTGCTGATGTATATTTCCTGATGATTTGCAGAAACTGGGAAAACGCTTTCTAAACTATAACTCAACGTCCTTGGTAGTATGCCGCTTCTCTGTACTCTGATGTGACTTTGGCGCTCTATACCCTTTATTCGTTGGCCAATAAATGCTGGTCAGCTTCTTATACGACAACTGTAGTAGATCGTCTTCTGATCGCGTCTCGGAATCGGTCCGCAAACGCTGCTGTTCCACGGCAATCACTCTCCGCTCGCTTCTCAAGAGCCTTTGGCAGCCATTCACTAATCTTTACAATCCGATTCTCGTTCTACGTCTCGTCAGCTCGCCCAAATTTCCTAGTAATATGCGCTAGACTTACGGATGGATGAGTGCTCAGCATTTCTGGAGCTTCTTCTCCACTGGCATGCTGAAGTGCGTGCATTCGCTGCCAGAAGCCCAAAGCTGCGCGTGGGTCATAACATGCTTCGGCCATCATCATTAGGCCGATGTAGTCTGCTTCGCTCTCCTGCTTTCGACCCATGGGAAGGTAGAATAGTAGATCTTGTAGGTAATATCCTCCCACGACATTCCAGAGCCCAAAGAGTGCAAGACCGGGCAGAGCTCCAGCGAGGAAGAACAAGCTTCCGGCTGTGAGATTTCCTACCCATGCTGCAGAGAGGCGCTCTGCTGCGTGAGAGGCTGTATTATGCGCGATCTCGTGCCCTAATACCGCTGCGAGGGCATCCTCACTGCGGCAGACGTTGATAATACCACTATGCACAAACACTTTACCCCCAGGGAGGACAAAGGCGTTTGCTGTTCCTGTGGCCAGAGGTCAGCAAACCGACAGTCGCTGCACATGATCGCCAAAACGCACTATTATCAGCTATCACGAATATCTCCCAATTGAGGTCCGCCATGCCGCTCACGGGGATTAGCTTCTTCATTACCCTCCTGACCAGGATAGTCCTTGGATCCCATTCTGATAGGAAATGACCACCTTGCGCTCTGACCTGCTCGATAACCTGTGCAGCTGCTTTCGAATGCGCGCGTGCGACCATGGAATCAGAGAGGAAGTTGAATCTTCGACGGCCTGTGACCGGAACGGTTTGAGAGTTGTAGAAGTAGAAGCCAATGGCAGCGAGGACGGTTGCTATCACGGTGAGACGCGAATTACGACTGCTGCCCGCTTGTGTGAACTTGCGCGCTGCGCGATGTGGGACGAGGGGTCGCGCAGCTTGTAGGCGCTCTTGTAGTTCTCGTTCGGAATGTTGTTGGGGGCGATAATGGCATTGCGAAAAGGTCCTGCGACGAGGGATGGAGGATATGGCGGTGCGATGAATAAGGAAAATGGTAGGACGGTTTACGCTCAGTGACGGCTTTTGAAGCAAACGAGGGGCAGTCATTGTCGGATTCAGCGGCCGGCGTGATTCGGTCAATTGTCGTGCTGCTACCTCGGATTTCGTTCCTCAATTAGAAGTAAAAATAGATCGAGCAAATATCACAAAGCAAGCGGGCCGCAGAGCTGACGATTGTGTGCTTGCTTGTGTGTTGCTTTGTCTCGTGATAGTTATTGGTTCAGCACAGGTGAGAAGAAGCTCCAGGGCATGGTTTGCGTCATGATCAGTCTGCACCCTTCCCGCTATCGGGGACCTATCCTAGGTAAGTTTAGGATAGATTTGAAAAGTTTAGTGGGTCTTTAGACTAATTTGTTTTGGTTGGTAACTAAGAAGGTCTTGCTCTAAAGACGGCCCGGCTAAAAACGCTGAGGCACCTCTTGCGTCAATAACCCGAGGGCATGTACTACACCGACGCTTTTAAGAAAGAAATATGCAATGAGATATTTACTTAAGTTTCATCCTCAAACTTCATAAATTTTCATAGATAGGTAATGAAAATAGAAGTCAAAAGTACCTCTTTCCATGAGATAGAAGACTCCACCTTTATGGTATTCTTTGGTGACAGCCGTTGCAGCCCTCCTTAATTTTCTGTCTGTTCGAGAGACCCTTGGGCTCAACATCCACTCATGAATGCACAAGCGTATAGCTCTGCAGTTGTTACCAATGAATAACAGACCAGTCTGATCATCACTGGCACCTAGTACTTAGCAACTGACACACCATTGTTCATCTTCACCAAGAAGATCTTATTCGTAAGGTACTAATCTAGTGGCCAGTGTCTGTTGCTTGGGATTTCCAAATAGTATCACGAACTACACTAACATATTTGCTTCCCCATCACAAGCCCAACAGCTGACATCCAGATTCAAGCTTTGCTATCTCACAGAAACCTTTGTCATATACAATCAACGGCTTGTTATTGTAGGTGTATGACCCGGAAACTTCGGGCTTGGCCTGACCACCACGCGATGGAGCATATTCACCATGGGTAGCTCACTTCAGAGCAACTCTGACATCATCTCAGCAACCTAACCTTAGGACAAACTCCCTGCTAAATTCCAAACGCCAATTTTGCACCTCTTTATCCTACTCTGAGTTCTAAGCTCGTAATCATTCCCTGGATGTCAGACTTTGGCTTACACCATCATCGTTTGCTAACATGATACTAGCTTCTTTGAGTAGTTTTGAATCCTACATCACACCAAGAGGGTCCCGTTTTGCAGGCCCTCTTATCAAACATCCCGTCACATTGGTGTGGGCGCAACGGCAGCGAACCATACATTCAACGTCTTATAGTCAAATGTGTAAGCTCTGTCGTTACGCTGTCAGTCCCTTGCTCACTCTCTATTCAGGGGTATAAAAGGAGCAGTCTATCTTTCAACTGCTGCCAACCCAAAAATAATTCTCATCCTCTATCATATTCTCAAAACGATTGCCTGCTTTATTTGATACCAAACACAAGATGGGCGAACTCGTCAACGGCGAGCCTGACTTGGGCACCATCAAACCTTTATTCACCTCTTCATCTGAACCTGAAAATTCTCAGTCAAAGTCCCTCATCCAGGCTCTATCCTTGGAGCCTCATATCGAGGGAGGCTACTTCCGTCAAACCGATACAAGTCCTACTACCATTCCTTCACCGTATTCATCCGAAGCTCTCTCCCACGAGACTCTAGCTCTTTCGGGCCCTGCTCGTGAAGGTTACAGGGCGGACATACGACGTCTCTCTACCACCATTTACTACCTGCTAACCCCACGCCATAGTCAGGGGAACTTCCATCGCAACCGCAGCCGTGTGATTCATACTTTGCATCGTGGACGGGGACGCTATGTACTCATCCACCCTGATGGGCGCATCGAGTCTTTTATCGTCGGTAATGCGGTTGAACGAGGCGAGCGTATACAATGGGTCGTTGAAGGCGATGTCTGGAAGGCAAGTTACTTGCTCCCCAACGAGCCAGATACCGGCCATGAATCAAATAGGGAGGAAACTGGGGGCTTGCTGATCTCAGAGACGGTTGTTCCTGGCTTTGAATATCACGACCATGCATTCCTCACTCAACAAGGAATTCGTGAACTACTCAACGAAGAGCAAGCCCGCGAACTGGACTGGCTCGTGAGAAGATCGGGTAAAATGCTTGAGGGCAGTGATCAGGACTGGCATTTGTGAAAGGGGAGACAGTTGTATAAGAAAGGAAACGGGTCGCTTCTGTAGCATTTTTTGGAAACGTGTTATGTCGTCTGACAATCTCATTGCCATTGATCACAGACTCCAAGGCTTCAAAACAGGCGGCTATCAAAAGTGCAGGTTGGTACGATGTTGTACCCAAATCCATATCAATACATTATTCTAGTCATTTGCATCGTATCGACGTTATTGGGTATCGAGGATATGAAAAGCCAAAGTCGTCCCCATTGTCGCTATGCATCGTTCGTGAGGTGGTTTATCGGTATTGAAATTAGTCCTTCTGAACCGTTTGCCCAGCTCCTTTCCTGAACTATTAAAGCTCAATAAGTGGTTGTAGTTCATTCCAGTCCCCGGTGTTTGCCCTTCATGTAAATGGCACTCGTGTGCCAGGCCGTTCGCCTGGGAATGGCTTCCTGCCAATGATGACGTGTATTGGTATATAAGCATGAATCCGCGTGTCGATCAGCTCTCGTCGGACATCAACCAGTGCCACCTGTGACTTTGAGTCAAATAAGTCCGAGAAACTTTGACAGTATACTTACCTCAATCTGCGCAGGAGTTCTCTCGTAGACGCGGTTGAACAGTGTGAAAGAGAAGCCGCTGAGGCCCATCAAGAAATTCCTTTCCCACAAACGCCCAAGTTCCTTTAGGCGTTCATCCTTTGGCCAGCCATTCATGGGCATTTTGAAGATTCGCTCTTGAACGTCAACAAAACCCGCCTGCACATATGCCTCACGAACATGGGCAGCAACATTGGTGGGCCGGCCCATCAATCCTGAAGCTTCATTGATTTCGCGGAACCATGTTGCAAGAGGTCCGTCCGGTGGAAGGGTTTCATCATCAGACATTATAACGGCATCGTATTCCTGCGACTCGAACCACCCTCCTGGCTTCAGTGTCTGAAAGGCTTGGTCCGCAATCTGCTCCTTGAAGCTAGCCCAGCAGCCAGATGTGACACGGGTATGAATGTAATCGAAAGGCTGAGAGTAATCCCAAGGCTCAGAGCTAGAAGGCAGTAAGTTCCCAAAGTGTCATATGAGGCCTGGATGTTGACATACGAATCTTCGACGTAAAAGTTCACGTTCGGGGGTACTTTTCGAGGCTGTATTGGTGAAAGGTCGGTTGCAACTACTTCTGTTTCCGGGAACAAGTCGCCCATTTTGATTGCCCAGTCACCAGTACCAGTAGCAATATCGAGGATATTTACAGGCGGTGCTCTCCTTGACAGTGGTGCAAAGTAAAGACGCTCACCGAAGAGTTTTACTAATGCCTCATTTTGTAAATCAAGTCGCTCACGCTCTAGTTGGTCGTTGGGGAACGCGTATGCTAAAAGGTGTCATTAGTGGTGCATGGTGGTGAATGAATAGACAAAGCTTACAGCCAGCCCGGTAGGCATGATACGTCCGCCCAAATTCTTCTGGGAAATTCTGTACGCTGTCTGTGAGAGATTCAGAGTCTCTGATAGTTCTTGTTAGGCGGGATTAACACGGTGAAGGTGCAATATGGGCTTCGACAACTTACATGCCTTGAGCATCAGGCTACACAAAGTCAGCATGCCCTCGAGCTAAATGGGAGGTACAGAAGAAAAAGTACATACATCCGGCTCAATGAAACTGTTCCCGCCAGAATTTGAAGCGGAGCAGTTAAAAGTAAACTGAAAATGGTGAAGACTTGAAGGCGAGGAGTCAGGCATACTGCCATGACTTGGTGACTGCGCAGCCATTACAGCAGGCGCCATAAGACAGTCACAGTTATGTATGACAAGGACTGAATATCAGGCAAAAGAACAGAGGTGACTCTTAGCTGAAATCATGGAGAAAAAGGGCAAATCAGCCCGATGCTGCGAGTAACTGCGCTTCTGGGACTTGGAGCTGAGAAACGCTGAGACTTCACGCTGCCGACTGTCCAAAAGGTTGAAAAGTCCTAAAGTCGTTCTGTCAACGACTTGGTAGTCAATTATGGATACCGATGCGGAGCCAAAATCCAATGGTAACATGAATCGAATATGTGCGCGGGTGGTAATCGCGGATAGAAACACGAGATAATTCGACAGAGAGGTTACTGGTGCTATCGTGGGTCGTGCAGCACAATGAGGGGAAGACAGGAGCAAAAGACGATCGACACTAACTACTGACCCGTCTCTCTAAGAGGGACGCCTAGAGCGGCATCAGGAAGAAGTGCTATGTAGTACCAGCGAGGTCAAAGAGAGACCAGGAGCTAGAGTAGGTAGGAGAGTCGGGAAATAGAAGCTAGTTATGGAAATGGAGAAGGGCGAGAAGCTTGAATGGAATCCCCGCTCTCTGTAGAAACACCAGAAGAAAAGGAGCCAAGCCCAGAAGAGCAATGCATAAAGCAAGGGACAAGGGCCAGTTGAAAGGGAACGGGAAGCGACCCAAACACCTGGTGCGACCGAGGCCTGAAGAGTGGATTCAGACAGAGTCGCCAACTTAGCAAAGGGGACCAAGAGGATGGAGACAAGAGACGAGGACGGGGTCAAGCAGCTTGGGACCCAGCAGCTTGGGACGGGTATCTAGCTCTCGGCTTTCTTGGCAAAGCCACAAAGCCCTACCACAAAAGAACTGCCTGCAAGTGGAAGTGGAACAAGCGCTTGCTGCTGATGTGTCATTGGCATTGGATGTTGTGCTGTCTTGGTGTGGTGACTACCCCGGTCTAGAGCGCCTGTACATGTTCAAGAGGCGACCCATCCAGTCGGGAACTGGGATCCAAAAAGGTGAATTCTGAGTCGTGTTTGTAATACAGCCCATCACACCATACATGAATTAGGGAGCTGGCTACCTCTGATTCACCAACTACTCGC